GGGAAAAACAATCTTTGATTTGCAACCTGTCAGCTTGCCTCTCTCTCCTCTCTCTCTCTCTCTCTCTCTCTCTCTCTCTCTCTCTCTCTCTCTCTCTCTCTCTCTCTCTCTCTCTCTCTCTCCTTTCCTCTACTTTCTATTTCTCTCTTGAACTATTTTATCTATCATTCTAAATTTTCCTTTCTATTACATGTACATGTATTCTGTCTCGCTCTCTTTCTCTCTCTCAAATACAGCCCAACAAAGAGGTAGAAAAACGCGAGCGCGCACATACACACGAACACACACACACACGCACGCACACACACAAACATACACACACACACACACACACACACTCACACAAAGTACATGTATGTGGCTGGATCGGTGTACTGTCATCATTTGTAAGCAGATGAGCTACGTCAGGTGAAGGTCATAACATCAGTACTGAGCGAATCTGTGGGAAAGAGAGGAAAAGAACGTATGGTTAGGATACATCGAAATTTTACCTTTTTCTCATAGGGGTGTGGCGGGTGGTTGAAGGGTGCCACTGGTAGGCATTACTTCTTTCCTTTTCCATCGTTGTTTCTGTATGTCTGTCTGTCTTACTTTTTCCCAGTACTAAATTACCATTATTGAAATTATTGTGTGGATGTGTTTCTCTTTACTCAAACAAACAAACATACGTGTTTACATAGGTTACCGCAAAGATATGGTTTTCTTCAGGTACTCGCGTCTCTCTCTCTCTCTCTCTCTCTCTCTCTCTCTCTCTCTCTCTCTCTCTCTCTCTCTCTCTGTGTGTGTGTGTGTGTGTGTGTGTGCGTGTGTGCTCTTTTACTTATTTGTTTGTTGTTATGTAGAGAAGGTGAGGAAAGGGGTGAGAGTGGTCGGCAAGTTGATGGGAATCATGAGAGAGAAGAGAAAGGGGCATAATCAATCTTAGCATTATGAATAACACCGTCAGAGAATAGGGGAGGGAAAGAGGTAAAGAACAGTCAGTGCTCTCAGTCTATCTCTCTGTCCCCGTGCTTTTATGCACCCCGCATAATTTAGCAAAATTTGATCAGTTTTTGCATAATTTCTTATTATTTTCCTTTATCATTCTTTGTTAAAATTAACAGAATCGCATATTTTCATATTTGTGGGGCTCAGTTTACCTAATTTCAGAATTTTTCTTGCATAAAACGACGGGGACAGATCTTTCTCTCTCTCTCTCTCTCTCTCTCTCTCTCTCTCTCTCTCTCTCTCTCTCT